TGCTCCTTTTTCAATCAGCAAAAGAAAGTGTGACAGGCTCAGACTGAAAACATAGCACAGGATCATGTAATTATGGCCCTTGTTGAGCAGTTACAAGTGCAGTAAGGTGTACTATACCATTGTTATCAACTGTCGAGCACTGGTTCTTAGTCTGTGTTACAGCTAGTGTTCCACAGAACTTTCAGGCACAAGATTCTCCAGATTTTGCATATTGCTAAGACTAAATGGCAACAAAATGTCACATGCAGTTGTGCTAACATTCTCTTGACTCAAATGCAGCCAGTTCTTCTGGCTGCATTTGAGTCAAGACATTCATTTTTGGTGTGAAAACTATATATGGTGAGTACATTCCAGAGAAAAGCTGGCCTAAACAGAGTAAACTGTAGCAAAGCATTATTGGTTCTTCTTTAAATATCACTGGTCCTCTCATAGACAGAATGAGATTACCTTCATTGACTACTTCACGAAGTGGGCAGAGGCTTATCCATTTGATTGATCTATCTGCATAATTTATGGCTAATGCTTTGGCAGAGCACAAAATAGCATGGTTTAGAGTAAATGAAGAGATCCACACCGAACAAGAAATTTACTTTAGCAGCCAACTGTTCTTTGAGTTGTGTTTAATGTTAAATGAGCGAAGATGCACACTTCATCTTAACACCTCAAGTATGATGGTTTAGTGGAATGGGTAATACAGACTGTCAAGAGTATGCATGCTAAGTTTGTGCTACACAAGGAAACAGAAATCAATAGGTTCTTCCCTGAAAATACTCATATTTGGTCAAAAAAGTTTTGCTCTCTTAAGATGTGATATGTGGTCCTCCACCTCGAGCAAATTTTTTACAGTATCCACAAGAATACGTAAAATGGTTCAGTTCTGCATTAGTTTGTAGGCATAACTTTTCACATCAAGAGGTACGAAGGACACAATGCAACAGAAGAGGTGCTATGATAAGATAGTGAAGGAACAAATGTACCAAAGTGGAGATTGTGTGTGGCTTCGTTATGTCACAGCTGCACAGAATACTGTTGGCTCTCGCTGGACAAGACGTCATCTTGTCTTCCAATGAATAAGTCTATTAATGTTCGAGTTACAGCAATTGAGGACCAGACAAAAGCATGTAGTGCACATCCATTAGCTCTGATAAATTGGTTTTGACCAGCAGTCAGAAGAGGGGGTATTCAAGTCAAATAACTATGAATCTGCCATTTTATTCCACACCAGCACTAAAAATGAGGAGGAAAGAGCTGAGAGTACTTGCCTGGCTGTTCAGGATGAGTCAAATAAGGAAGTACCAGATTTAGAGGCTAGACTCAGTTGAAACAGTCCATGAAACCATTTATGACGACTTCTCAATCAGTATGGCTGGGATTAAACCCAATCATCAATAACCTAGAACAGTCATGTGATTGAGAAATTAACAACTGAAAGGAAAATGCAATCCTTGATTTCTAAGCTATCAAATGTTCACCATATAATGTCTACACTTCGTTACCAAATAAGGCAAAAACAGCTGGAGTTATTAGATGTAATGCTTAGTATATCAACAATTCTCACAAATGAAGATGACAGTTAAGATTTCAAAAACTCTGTTGAAAGTACTTTGTAGCCCTTGCTTTCTGAGCTACTGAATAATTTTATCAAGGCAAAATATCGGATACATTTTCAAGGATCAGTCATCTGAACTAGTTGGATAATAAGAGGTATATGGAGAATTTTCCATAATCCTTGCTAGATCTTTTCCAGTACACCTGAAAGGGGGGTATAACTTCTTCACTGCTGTGAGGGAGTTGTTGTTTTTTTTGTCAGAGTATATGGATATACACCATAGTAACAACACAAATATTAATCCTCACTTAAAAGAGTTTTAGTTGAAAAATCTTAGTTTATCTGAATTCTGTCAATGGTCATGTATTTTATCATGCCTAAAAAGAAAAAAATACACGTATTTGAATGCTCGCAGGTGGCTACACTTTAGAAAGTAACTATATGGTTATGAAATAACTTATATGGGAGTTGGAGGTAGTTTGTTAAAAGCTATTAGTGTATATGATGTAATAGAGATATATGTATATGGCAATATATGTTTATAAATAATTACACCTGTGGGGATACATATGCTTGTAAGAACATTACGTGAAATTATTCATGAGTGCTGTATAACATGAATGGATCAATTACATTAGCACAACTATTAAACCAGAAGTAAATGGAAATAAAGGATTTAATACCCTGTGATATGAGGTCACATGTGGCTACTAACCTGTAAAGTATTATTTGAAAATAATTTGCACATATTATTCTCATTAATACTAGTGAGAGAATGTTTCAATTTTGACATATTCGCCATAAAGTGAATTTTGAAGGAAGGATAAGAGTAATGTCTTGCCTCACAGTATGTGAATTTCACTATATTTCTGAGAGAAAACCATATTTTAACTGTTGTTTTCCAATAAGAGTAGTAGATATTTCGATTGGATCAAACAAAATTCTTAGCAAGTTAGCAAAATTATCAATTGTAAATGAAATTTGTAAACAGCAGCTTAAATACCATAATTAATATAAACTAAATATACCAATGTTTATTTTATTGAGATAGAATATTTTCAACTATGCAGACTGAAATATTTAGTAAGTTACATAATTTTATAAATATTTTCTTAAAATTGTTTTAGTACAAGGTGCAGTATAAGGTGCGTAAAACATTCACGTAATGAAACTTTGAAAACTGTACCAAAGGTGGTATTAAGCTTGTAACTGGAAGTAGGACTCTAGCAAAAAACAACAACAAAAAAAAAGGTTAGTGGATTCTAATAATGAAAAGCGTAAGCTAACATCATGTAACGCAAGTCCACTCATGTATATAGAGTCAATTTTGCAGTCTTGACTACATTCCTTTTCCATGGAACTAGGTGATGTTTACATAATAACCAAACACTAGTGGTAGGAATGAATTTGGGCTTTTATCTCGGGAATGGGAACTCGGGGCAGCATGGTTAAAAAAGGTATTCGTCAAGTGGGGACCCAATGAGGCCTGTGGGCCGAGAATTTTATGGACGCCAATGATAAAAGTCCTATGGATGATTAGAGTATGCGCAAATATGAATCCCATAGAAATGTCACTTGATCAAGGTAATCTATTGATTACTCAACCTCTAAAGGTAATTGGGGAGGGGGGGGGTAATAGCTGTAACCAGACAATTATGACCCCTCTTTCAACCTACACACCTAACTGACATTTTGACCAATTGGAATTTATCCAACCTTACATTTTCAATCTGGACTTTTGCTACATAAGATTGCATTTTTGGTGCTTCTGGTTATTATGTTCTTCAATTAATCCGTAGTTTTCCTGAAGCATTCTCCACTCCATGATGAAACCAACTTAGCTAGAGGCATCATCTAGAGTAGACCAGCCAATAGTCAACTTTTCCGCTAACCAATCAGTGGAGCAGATGACAAATGTGAAATGCGGGTCCATTATCATCAGGAAGTAACAGTACCATTTCTTGGTGTATATTGTATAAATATGTTATTTAAATTATTCATATTTGATTATTTTATTTTGTTATTTCTTTCAGTATATATATATATATATATACGTAGGTATTTTAATGGGATGTTCTGTTGTATATATATATACACATAGTTAGTTTTTAACTTTTCCCCCTTAACGTCTTGTAAAGGGTTTGATATGTATTGTTATTTAAACACATTGATGTTGATCCATGTGAAAAAGCTTTGTTTGTTTGTTTGTCTGCAATTAAGCACAAAGCTACACAATGGGCTATCTGTGCTCTGCCCACCACGGGTATCGAAACCTGGATTCTAGTGTTGTAAGTCCGCAGCCATACCGCTGTGCCACTGGGGGGGGGGGGCGAAAAAACTTAGCTTTGTCTTGTTTTTTATTTGAGTGAATGGATTTGTTTTTATATGCTTTGTTTGGTCATTCATTGTAAGGGCTTTTATTTTCATTGCGTATTTGCTGTTTTATGTAATTGTATTTATTTTCATTCAATACTTCGATTTTACTATTCTAAATTATTATGGTAATTTATTGTTCATTCAGTCCAATAATCGTAATCGAATTTTCTTTAATATATATATAGAGAGAGAGGTGTACAGTTTGGGAGTCGAGCGTCATTATCACTAGGCTACGCTAGGGCGTAATATTTGCTTGTTACATTATCTAATGGCGGGGATCTTCCACCTACTTGAAATAAAATGTTACAAAATCTCTATATTTAAAAGAAAACTGTGTTTGACAGTAATTTAAGTAGAAGAACAAAGTCACTGAACAGTGATTTTAAACTATTATCAACAAATATAGGAACATGCGATCAAACTTAACAACTCTGTTGTAATTGTGCCCTATTTGAATTTTTATTTTCGCAACTTTAATTTAAAAATGTGTTTTTCGTGTAAGTTGCTTAGGTTTAATTTTTATTGTTATATAAAGTTTCTAGCTATATATATCTATTTTGGCCGAGCGCGATCCAGGGATTACAGTTCCGGACTGTAATTCCTCTACCTTTATGTCCTGACACCGCTAAAAAATAAAATATCGCGCTCCGCACTTTGAGGCCATAGGTAACAATCAAATCTTTATACTAATAGAGTAGCCCACAAGTTGGCGGTGGATAGTACTGATTTATTTTCTTCTCTCTGGTCTATCACTTCAAAATCAGCACTCAAGTAGCTTTGCATGAAATTCAACTAAAACCAGAAATACAATAAATGTATATATATATATATATATATCCATTCATCAGTGGCATTACAGATGGTAAAATTTTAAATTTCGCAAGTGATATTATTTGCTGTAATGTTTATTTTTTCACAAGATAATGTAATTATCCAGACACGAGTGAATACATTTTGAAGGTTTGAAAAGAAAATGCTTTTAGTAAGCATCTACGTAGCCATTGAAGTCGGTAGTTAGAAAGAAAAAACATCTCTGACATCAGTAGCTAAGATCACAGAACGGAAATGGGTTTGTGTGTCATGTATAACCTACGCCTTCATACTGTGTGACGATGTGTGTGAACGAAATGGGAGTAAGAACATTATAGAAAGATCATACCTAAATGCAGGATTAACATAATTTACTAATAGTCATGGTATTTTAATATTAAAATTTATCATGAATGTTCGCTGATCGAATACTTTAGTAGCACTAGTGAAATCGTTAAGACATTTAAATTTAAATTTTAGAAGATGGACGAATCTGAAAATGATAACGGAAGAACATACGAAAGACGTCTCTCGGGTAAGGACTTCTCCCAAACACTAGTTTAGTACTAGTAGTTAATTTAAGGCCTAGTTTAGATTACTTTGATAATGATAGTTTACGTTTATCAGCAACAAGTAACACTGTTTGCCCATCCCATAGAATTGGTTACTGAATTAGCTAAAGCACAAGTTTGGTAATCTGTATACAAATTAGTAAAATTAAAGACTATATTATTATTTCTTTTTTTAATACTAGTAGTAGTAGTAGTACTGAATAATGAATTATACTTTATAATTATAGATTTAATAATAGATTGTTAGCAGAATTTTATTGTTAATTGTTATTAATAGTAATATAATTAGTATACTTGTAGGAGTAGGCCTACACACGTATTCTAGTATAAAATAATCAATCAAAATGATAACTTAAGACGTTAAGTTGTATTTTACTGTTTAATATTAATGTTTCATGACTTGTTGGAGAGGGTTCAGAGGAGGGCTACTACTAGCACTAAAAATAGGGCTATCTTACTTCATTTTCTTGAAAAGGGAAGAATAAGAGCAGTCTCATTAAAGTTTACAAGATTAACCACGATATTGGTAAAATAAAGGCCTATGACTTCATTTTTGCTATATTCCGAAGACAACAGGATGAGTGAACATAAGTTTAAGAGTTGTAAAAGACAGGCAAGGCTCCAGTTAAGGCTGTTTTAATTTTTCTAACAAGGTGATTCACTTACAGAATGAGTTACCATTGACAGTAGTGTAGGAGCATTTTACAAGAATTTAAGAGGACAATCAATTATTTTCTGAAAGATAAATGGTGGGTTTAAAGTTTTACACTTTTTCAAGGTTTGATATGTAAGGATAACCTTGAATTATTAAATTATCCCCTGTGGTCCATGTGTTATGTTATAATGACAATGACTAGCAGTAATAAGACTCTTACCATCTATTATACCTCAGTATTTGATTAAAACTTCAGGTTAGTCTTTGATGAAGACTGTATTTGTATATTTTTAATATGAAAATATAGAAATAACTTAGAATATTAATTTCCAGAAGCAAAAGAGAAGTAAAAAAAGTAACATGGGAATTAACCCAGGAACATTACATTATTATTAATATACTCTTCATACACTAGTACAACATTTAGATCAAAAGTATTACCATTTCAACATTTTACTGTCTTTTGGTTTAATGAAAAACAAATGGTTAAGTACATTATGTTGAAATGATTTTGAAGAAACAAATCGATATGTCATGTGACAACCACAACCCATAAAATAACTCATGTCAGAACTTCATTTTGACATTGAGTGGTGTTTCTTAAGTAGTTTGATGCTGCTGAAAATGGATCATAAAATATTCATCAGATCATAAAAATGTTTTCAGGTCCAAAATTTAGAATTTACTAGATGGAGATATCCCTTGTACTTAATCGCATTGGATAAAAAAAGAATATGGATCAGTTTGGGGAACCACAACCATCCAAAAAGAGACCTTCATTAAGTCATATCCCACCCATGATAAACAAAGTGCAGAAAGGTCATTATAAAAAAATAATAAATATATATAAATGTATAATCTTGTGAGATTTAAGCTACTTAGTCTAAACATTATTGTTTTCGTGTTATAATTTTTTGTCATTCTAGAATGAAAGAGGCATAATTTATATTTATTTCAACACTGCATCTATGGGCTCTGCTATGCTCTTAGTTGCACAAAATATTAAAACTAATGACTTGTTTTATATTATTCCAATCCACCTTTTTGAAGATAACAATACTAATGTGCCCATTTTTTTATGTTTTGCAGTAGTTAACTGATGAATCTCAGATTCAGCTGGTACATCAAATCGATTGAGATATCCTCAAATAAATTCTTCTCTCATCTGACCTGGACCTACGGTTTAGCTTAATCACTGCACTTAACTGTCACATGCACAACCACATCTAGAATATTTCAAACATGTTTCATTGGTACATCATTTTACTTTACATTTACAAGTTAACTTCTCCATGTTGTCTCTCATGGTCTTGGGTAAGGTCATGGGTTCAGTCAGGGTCTGGTCCAGTGACCTAGACTTCGAAATTAGTGCCAGATGTCTTCATTTTGTCTAATTAAAACAACCCAAACCTTTCTGGAATGACACTTTTTTTTCATTCACATCAAGATGCTAGGCTGGCTCATGTGACAGGTGTTAAATTTGAAAAGAAATATTTAAATAAATACTCAATTCACATCCCTGAGTCACATGATGCAGTGGTGCTCTAACTTCTCATTTATAAATTTTTTACTCTTCCCCCTTAAGGGCTTCAGAATGTTCAGACAGTTATAGATACAATGTATAGATATTAGATAGTCAGAATATAAAATTTAATCCTTTCTTTACTGAGATATCATTATATTTGTGAAACCCACATGACATCCCTCTCATCTTCTCTGTCTCTCAAGAAATGTATATAATTCTCTGTGATATTATTATTAAACATGTTTATGACTAATAAGAAACAGCATATTGTGAACTACGTAAATCAGATAATTGTTTGTTTTGTTTTGTTGTAGCACTTGAAGCTGCTAGTTTGTGAAGAAAGCTTGGTGTGTTTAGACTAAAGGCATTACTCCAAGCACTAATGTAATTTATTAACCTATTCTAGTGCCAGATACATTTTTTTGTTCTAAAGTACGTATTTGAAAAATACATTCATTATTTTCTGCACAATTAATGTAGTGAGAAAAAATAGGTGCTTGATAAATCTTGCACCCAAGTGCAAAAGGTCTCAAGGCTAAAGTATGTGCTAAACTTCTTGTTTTCATATATATACAGTTTCTATTTATTATATACTGTTTAACAAAGTAACTAAAATATAAAATAAAATTTAAAAATGGTTGTAAGTTCAGGAGTTTTTCCCTCTCAACTCCACTGGAGGCCTTTGCCGCACCCACTCCCCATCTCGGGCCATTTGGGCTATGTCAAATACCATACCAAGTTTTTAGATAGAATCCTACATAAGTACATATGATTGAGTTTGTGATTTAGCTGTACATATATACTATGTCTAAGACTGAGAATCTGCAGTATCTATTGTAATGAATTTAGAAGAATGAGTTATGTAAGTTGCTACAATTAAACAACTTGCTAAGATCATATTTTATTAAAATTCAGCAATTCAACTTATTACGCATTAGATATATATTAATTTATATAAAGTTCAGTTAGGTAAGAAATGCATTCATTGAATATATATTTTACCTTGCTCACTAATCCATTATTCAATAACTAGTTAACTGTATTTATCCATATATATCACAAGTTTTTTTATAAATTATTAAACTGAAAAATACTGAGCTTAATTAAACTACACTTCTACATTCGACCACTAATCAAATGGTGCTTCAAACTACATATGAGTTAAATCTAAGTTGACAGTTTTTCAATAAAGTACAACTTTTAAAAAATGATAATTTTACCAAAATAACTTTCCTAGTCCACACACACACACACACACACATATGTATATATATATGATAAAATATAGTTCATTTCACTTTGAACCTTGAGACTGTTTTTAAATTTGAATGTTACTGAAAACATAATGGAAGCATTGATCATGCTTATCACAAGAGAGGTTTTAATACTGGTAATTGTGACATGTCTTACAAGTCTGTAGGGTGACAATATTAGCACCTGTGGTATGGCTGATTCAACTGTAGACAAAGCCTAGATTGTAATTAATCAACAGGCTTAACAGATCAATGTAGCTCTTACGTGAATGCAGGCACCAAACTTTCATTCATTCACATAACCATTGTCAACCACATTGTTGTTCCTAGAGCATGGAATTGTGGAAATCCTACATTTTTTAAGTGTGTTCTTGTTTGAAAACAATAAATTGCAGACTTGGAACTGCACCTGCCATTTTAACCTGTCAAATGCAAATTTCTATAAATAGGTCTATCTTTTATAGGTTGTTTAGGCAGAGTATTCATAATGAATATAAGTTTCAAATGGACAGCAACTGCCTGTTGTAGAAACCTACAAATGTAGAAGACGACGTTTCGAAAGTCTTTTGCCTGAAGACGAAAGGCGGAAGATTTTTGAAACGTCATCCTCTACATTTGTAGGTTTCTACAACAGGCAGTTGCTGTCCATTTGAAACTTATATTCATTATGAATACTCTGCCTAAACCACCTATAAAAGATAGACCTATTTATAGAAATTT